TTGAACTACTTCTAGGTTTGTAGACAGATACATACCTGGCTACATCTTCTTTGGAGAAGGGCCGACTCAGGGGACAGGCAATATCGACGGTCACTACGAGAAACCGCCCTGGACAGGGAACGGTGTAAGAATTGTCGTAGATGAAGAAAGACGCCCAGTTAGAACGGATAACTTTTGATGGAAAGTGATTTGATGAACTTAGTTACCGTGCTTTTGTTATTGTTGATCTAGTAACCTGAACTGAACCACGCTCAATGCTTTTTCTTTACTTACCTCGAGAAAACTCTCCTTGAGCTTTGATGGTGACCACCGTGATGATGTCCATTCTATTCTTTCCAACTCGGGCTCCCTGAGTCAGTATTCTAGGGGGCCGAACACTATCAAGCCAGCTTCTCAAGGCCACCCCCTTCAACCCGGCTACCTTCATTCGATCAAAGATGACGAGTAATCCAGCACTGTCGAAGATGCTAGAGGTCTACAGAATCTCGTATGAAACAGGTTTCTCATTAGAGAAGCCTTCTCCCAGGCAGTTCAAGAACAAGGCGCTAGAGCCTTGGACAGACATAGGCTCCCAGATCCCATCACTGATACAGGATGGCACTTTCCGGTCCACAGCTTCTTCACTGCCCAGTTTTCCTTCTGATCTTCTGGACGGCATTGAAGAGCTTCGTCTGGCGTTCGTAATTTTGACCTTTCTTGCGTCGGCATACATCTGGGGCAATATTGAAATAGACAGTCCAAGCCAAACCCTTCCCAAATCGATATCCGTCCCACTGCTCGAGGTAGCCCAGAAACTGGAGATACAGCCGGCATACTGTTACATGCCAGGAAGCATATGGCTGGTCACACAGGACGAAAATGGCACAGAGAAATGCGTATGCTCTTTCACAGGGACCAAGAGTGAAGAGCACTTTAACCTGACTACGAACCGTGTCGAAAGGATGGGAGGAAAAGCCCTATCTCAAGCGTTATTAGCCTCCAGATTTACAGGCCAAAAACTAGTCATAGAAACCACAGAATCTTTGGAACACGTTGCAACCATACTCGATGAATGCAAGAAGATTTTGGCTAGTATGAGAAACGGATGCGATCC